TGGTGCTCTCCATCTGCCGGAGGGCCGGGGTCCGGCCGTGGTGGTAAGGGCCGATGGCCACCACCTTGGGGAAGGCGTACTTGGCCGCCAGATCCCCCATGCTTGGAGGGAACATGTGGATCTTCGTCTCCATCTTGTCACGTTCCTCCTGAAGTGATTGTGCTGCTTGCTTGAACACTTCAACCGCGTAGTGATGATCAATACTCTCCTCCTCAATCAGCTTCAGCTGCGGCCGTCCGGGAGAGCCATCCACCAGACCACTTTGGCTGGCAGTTGGCGCAACTGTCATCTCCAAAGGGACGCCGGGAACCCATACATTTGGATCCACGGCCGGCCTCCCCTCCCAATAATAATCAGCCACGGCCAGCTGATAGTCGTAAGGTGCTTCCATGTTTTAGCAAACTAAGAGTAACTACAAGATGGATGCTATTTCTAATAACAAAAATTACACTGCTGGTTTCAAAATAGAAACATGTACAAATGTCCTAGAAGAGACTGAAAAGAGAATACATGAGTTGAGAACCAAGATTACATCGGTTATCGTATGCATGCATGAGAAGATGTCGCTCCTCTTTATATAGACCAACCTATACGCCGACGGCCAAGGAAAAACACGCAGCCGGCCTTCACATGCATGACTCTCATCAACCAAGTAACCATAATGTATGCGTATTGCCATAACAGAGCTAGGGAGCTTTTCATCTTTCCTCAACATGCAACACAACCGGGAAGAACCTTTCAATTATTATTATTTTCATGATTATCTCATTATTAATATACTATTAGCCCTCGTAATGCCACTTGCAAAGTTGCTTCCAAAGAAATCAACGCCTCGACTCAAAGCGCTTTTATACCGGATGGCAACGCGTTATAGGTGCCAGGTCCGTCTCTGCTGGCACAGTTTAGCCAAGAACACAGCTCATTAATTAGTTATTAGATTTGAACACGTGTACTAGCAGACCGACGTTTCCACGAACTCCGCACACGATGAGGAGGAGCAACGTGATCTATAACTTTGTTAATCACTTCCTCCTTGGTGGGGTGCTTGCGCTGAGTTAATCGGCATTTGATCGAGCTGCAATGGATGTATAATTCGTAACTTTTTTTCTTAACTTTCCAACAAAGCTGGGATGAGATCGACCTCACCACGGTTCTTCAATCCTTCGGCGGGCAAACAAAGCAGTTCCCGATAAGGTACTTGGGGCTCCCCCTCGTCCTCGGTAGGATCCGTCTGGTCCATCTTCAGTTTATCCTGGACCGCATTAGGAGCAGACTCGCAGGATGGAAAGGAAAGATGCTCTCTATTGCTGGCCGCCGAGTCCTGGTCCGGTGTGTGCTCTCTGCCCTGCCAACCTTTGCCCTGACGGCCCTGAAGTTTCCATCCAAGCTGCTAAAGGAAATTGACAAAAGCAGGCGGCGTTTCCTTTGGGGAAAAGATCAAGAACTCTCTGGGGGGAAGCTGCAAGGTAAACTGGCACCGAGTCTGCTCCCCGATCGATCTGGGAGGGTTCGGAGTTCTGAACCTGCAAAAATTCGGCCGGGCGCTGCGCCTGCGTTGGTTATGGCAATCCTGACAGCACCCGACCAGTCCATGGGTAGGTGGGGAGACGCCTTGTGATGATCTGGATCAAACCCTTTTCAACGCTGCCACGGCGGTCACCATCGGCAACGGTCAGACAGCAAGGTTCTGGCACACCATCTGGCTCGGATCGGCGCCCCTAAAGATCAGTTACCCAGGTCTGTTTGCGCACTCGAGAAGAAAAAACAAAACGGTGGCCCAAGCAATTACTGGTGATCAATGGATCGCGGACTTCGCGCACGGCAACACCAGTGATCTGCTCATCGACGTTGTTTCCCTGCATCGACAGATCCAGCAGCAGCATGTGGCACTGCAAGTAGATATCCCTGACCGGGTCAGATGGAATTTTGAAGGCTCAGGCAAGTACACCGCTCACTCGGCATATGCTTTGCAGTTTCTGGGATCACCAACGAGTCAGCTCAAGAGCGCCATCTGGGACACTTGGGCACCGGCAAAGCTCAAAATCTTCGCTTAGCTTCTTCATCAAGATTGGCTGTGGTGCAACGATCGGCTTCAACGCAGAGGATGGAGCAACAGCTACTTCTGCCAATTCTGCCGCAAAAACCTGGAGAGTGCAGATCATCTGTTCTGGGAGTGCAGCATCACAAAGACCGTCTGGAACGACTTGGCATCTTGGCAGCACTGCCAGGCATGTCACCCAGCAACCTGGAGCAACTGCAACAGCTCGCTAGAGAGGATGACAACCATGATAGAAGCAACACAGCCAGCTTTCGGAAAGGGTCTAAAATCGCTATTAATGCTAGCTCTCTGGGAAGTCTAGCGAGAAAGAAACAATTGCACCTTCAGAGACAAGGAAACTGATGTTAGGGAGATTTTAAACGCAATCCGGCGCAACCTAAACCTCTGGCAACAGTGTGGCGGTCGATCCTTGCAGAGCCCCTTCGGGGACCCGCCCTGAGTAGTTAGTTAGCGGCTGTACCTTTGGCACTTCTTTTTCTCTCTTCTTCTTACATCCTTGATTCTCGGATCATCGCCTTTGTCATTTGTCCACCTGCTCCCTGCTTATGAATCAATGGAACCAGCCTTGAGCTGGATCCTTTCAAAAAAAAAAGCTGGGCCAGCAGTATGGCCTTTGATATATGACAAGATAAAAGCAACATCTTTATGCATGCTGAGTTGTGTGCCTTCCTTTGCGCGTTCGTAATTGTGAACTCATAGTGCATTTCACGCATTTGCGCACTCCGCCTCACGTTTGCACATGCATGCTGAGCCAAAGCGGCCCAACTAGTCTCTGTAAGAGAATTTGTTTGTGTAACTCCAACTTATTTTACAGCATAACTTTGCGTATGAAACCGTCCTTGCTAAGTATACTGCTGAGGATGTGAAGAGTACAGTTGCATAGGAGACCTTAAAGCTCCGGGCTTGGATGGGTTACACACATTTTTTATAAAAAATATTACTTCCTCTGTTCATTTTTATAAGACTTTGAAGACATTTCAGACAATGTGCAAAATATCCTATTTTGAGTTGTCTGAAATGACTTACAAAAGTGAACGAAGGGAGTAGTATAGTTTTAGAGATGAGATTGCACATGAGGTTCTTCATGCAATCTATTCGGGGGTGTTCTGAAGAGTGGATCGATGCAACTTTGGTGCTGACCCCGAAGATTGATACACGCCCACAACGATAGGACGAACCGCAACGGTAGGGGGCAATGTACTCGGCAGAGAGTAGCAAAGAGGCAAGAGGGTCGGAAGAGGCGCCCCACCGCCGCCAATAGCAACAGCGAGGGGGGCACATAGGAGGGGGTTGTAAGTAGTGGTTAAAACATCAAATGATGTTATTCGACATTGATGGCTACTAATATGACACTGACGATGTCTACTCGTTGTCGGCGTCCTCCTCCTCGTCTGAATCCTCAAGATCGTCGACGTAGTTGAAGCAGTGGTCCTCGGTCTCCTCCTTGGGGCGGCAGGCGAGGAGGACAAACTTCCGCTTCTCCTGCTTCACTTTATGATCCATGGTTACAATTCAAACAGTAAAAAATTCATGATCCAAGAGACATATGGAAATAGAGGCCTTATTTCACTACAGCGTGTTATCTATATTTGGTTCGAAAAAACAAGGAGTGATGTTTTTGGTTTTCTTAGTACGGAAGGAGATAAAGCAGTAAAAAAAATACTAATTAGTTTTGTTAACAAAAAAATTGGTAAAATCAAGATTGTGAGGAATAAAATCACGGACGATGATGTTATTTGTGTTCCATGTTTTGTCAACGTTCAAGACACTTACATTGCCACCGTAAGATTCATCCAAATTCATATGCTTCTCCTCATCAGGTTGGTTCACATTCAATGACGAGGATCCATTCTCGCTATTGCAATCATGGCCATCATAACTGGTCTCTTGCTCCGTCCATACACATTTAAACAAAGTCTCATATCACAACATCATCACAAATATAATCAGTTCATCAATCAAATTGCTTAACAGTAGATCGCACAAATTTACGCACTAAACTACTACCTACTTAGTAAATTAAGGAGTAATTTTTTTCATCTTATTTCAATGAGTAATATAATGTAAAGTCAAAACAAATTACAAACAAAAGACCTACGAGGCGTTCACGAGGTCCTAGCCTCGCCGACCTCGTCGACGCCGTCAGGGAGGGGAGAACCGTCAATGTTGGCTGGGGACGAAGGCGCCCAGGCGTGATGATGTTGGTCGGGGAGGAAGGCGACCACGACGCATTATGTTGGCCGGAGAAAAATGCGACCACGACGTGAAGATTCCGGGGTTGGCGGCGACCAGGGCGTGAGGGCGACAATGATGGCAAGAGTATTTGCCCGTCCGCCAGAGATTGCCGGAGAGGAAGGCGGTAGCTGGAACGATGATCACCATTAGGGTTTCACCTAGGGGCGGCGTGTTTTTTTTTTCAAAGTACCGACGCGGGCAGGCGTACGATGGTGGGCGGGTATGCTATAGCCATGTGCAATGACCATCCTGCCCTTTATAAGGTTTAGGGGGTTGTACCGAAGCGCGCCTCCTGTTTTAAACGGATGCGGGCGGTTTAAGGGTCAGCGTTGGAGATGCCCTTAGTACAAGCACTCATCAATGATTACAGCTGGGAAGTGTACCTACCCGCATATGCTTTCTATGATGAGATTCCTAAACAAACTTCAGTTTGCAATAGATCACAAAAAAGAAAGAGTTCAGTTTCTGATCAGGAGTGACTATGCTAATGAATGCTCAATTGCTAGTAAACCTCATGCTAAGAGACATCAAAGATCATACACCATCCATCAGAAGCAGTGTACTTGAAAACTCAAACTTTACATTCTTGACAAAGTAGCAAAGAAACTCCATCAACTAAATCACCCAATGAACATCATACTGCACGCCTGTGCCCCTCTACAAGCTAAATCAGGAGGCTTGAAAATGATAAGGAAGCAGCTGTTGGTCAACCAAGGAAGACTTGGACGCGGACGGCGAGGAGCAAGATGGTGATGAGGGCGAAGTAGATGACGGCGTGGATGAGCATGGAGGCGCCGCTGGTCTGGAAGCTGCCGAAGTCCACGATCCTGCCCTTGCCGGGGATCTGGAACAGCAGCCCCGGCGAGAGGAGGATGAATAGCGCCAGCCCGACGAACACCGGGGCCCAGTCCGCCATTGGCTACCTACCTCCTCTCTGATCGATACTCTTGATCTGTGATAGTAGGACCAGTGGAGAGTGGAAGGAGTGTGAGGCCACGAGGGGGTGAGGCCGTGTATATGTCGCCTTTAGGTGAGGAAATGACTGGGACACGAAGCAACTGGGGAGGTGGGTGGGTGGGAGGCACATGCTGATCTCATGTGATGGTGTGGATGGTTGATCATGGTGTGGGGGGGTTTCTCTAATGTGCTGCCAACGATATCGCACGAATGTTTGTGCGGCTTGTTACTTTGTTCCAAGTTTAGCTGCTGGTTATGTGATTCATGTACAAAGCTGGTCGTGTGACTAATCTGTCCTCGGACATGTTGCGACTTGTTGTGCCTATAAATATGATCTCCGTCCGGAATTAACCGTTGCTGAAGTGAGTGTTTGGTCGTGTGACTAATCTATACTCAGATATGTTGCCACTTGTTGTACCTATAAATATGATCTCCGTCCGGAATTAACCGTTCCTAATGAGTGTTTGGTCGTGTGACTAATCTATGCTCAGATATGTTGCGACATGTTGCAACTTTTTGCCTATAAATATGATCTCCGTCCGGAATTAACCATCGCTAAGATACACTCATTTTAGCGACGGTTAGTTCTGGACGGACGTAGTAATAATTTTTTGAAACCAATAGGTTGTTTGTTAATAATTCGAACGTGCATGTAGATCATCTTATGTATCAGCTCCTACTTTTGAAAGAGCTGATGTGAGTGAACGTGCATGTGTTTTTTTGGGTCTGGCTAACTTAGAGCATCTACAGCCGCAACCTGCAAATTTGGGCCTTCAAACGTTTGTGGACGTGCCCGCGGACAGTGACCGGACGGGCCTCAAATTCTACCATTTGCAACCACATATCTTATTTCCAAAATAGTTATTACATGTAGCGCTATGCGCGTCGATCATCATGTTCATCTTGGGCCGACGAGGCTGTCAAAACACACCAAAAATTGCTCGTACTTAAAATTTTCACATCCGTATTAGTCCCACTTTGCCGCGTGATGAGCTAGTCGACCGGCTTAAATAATCGGGTCGTCCAAAAGCGATAAGCTTCTGACATCATTGCATCTTTGTTAAGAAGATAGACTGTCACTATGAATCTTCTATGCTTATCACATAGAAGATTCATAGTCAGAGTCTATGTCCTTGACAATGGAAACATTAATGTCAGTACTGCTTTTTTTTAATCGCAGTGTGTCAATAAAACTCGATGAATAAAATAAAAAACTATTGTCATTGTAGGAGGGCTATCAACGTATATGAAAGAGACGAACTTGATACTCGATGAATAATCATCAGTTTATGAAATGCAATCTAGTGGCAAGCTATCTCGTTCACACAGTAAGAATTGATTGACCTATGCAACAACAGAGAAGCTTGCCACCATCTGCCGGTGCGGCTATTTAAGCCGGTCAGCGTCTGCCTCGCACGGTGATGTGGGACTAAAAAATTTGGGTGCACCGATGAGAGAGGAAGGAGCTTCAGTGGCTGCAGGTAGGACCGCAAATGCGCCCGGGCCACCCCATATTTGGACTGGATATAAGGGTGCCGGTCAGCCCGGATGTTTGAGGCCGATTTGAGGCGCCTGTCTGGGTCGGTTTTTTGTGACCGGTCAGTGACCTGGACGTCTGCCCGGGTGTTTGAGGCGGGTTTGAGGAGCCCGGTTGTACATGCTCTTTGGTAGAGCTGTTAACAAGGTGATTGAGATGATATATATGTTTGTCCCTTTATTTAGATTTGTTATCTAAACTACAATATTCTTTCCTATTGTTGTCTGTTAATCTTTTATTCTAATAGAAGTTCTAACTACATGGAAACCCATATTTTTATTTCTTTATTTGAGGAAATATTATATAGTTCGTCCGATCCATATTGTTTGTCTCTCAAACGGATGTATCTAGACTTATTTTAGTCCTAAATACATCTGTTTAAATGACAAGTAATATGGATCGGAATGAGCAAATTTTACTAGCTAATGAGTTTTAAAGATGTCCACTGTTTGCACCTAGCCCATTGTGTTAGAATTAATGGCTTGGCCCATGTGCATTTCCGGAAAATTCAAAGTAAATCCCAAAGGCCAATGAATAAATGGCAAGATATGGTGCAAATCTTTAGTCTCATACCACTAGTGAAGGTGATGTGAGACCACCTTATGTGGTGGGTTCTCCCTACCGCCAAATACACAGCGAAATCAAGTTAGAGTTTTTGCCTTCTCTTGATGTTTGCATCATGAACACTGGCGTGCACCGGCGAGCAGGAGAGCAGGTCTCGGGAACCTCTCGCCCTTGTAAACCTACACCATGAGAGGGCAAATTAGGTTTTCGTGAAGCGCTTCACGCGACTACTCGTGTTCTTCTGCACGTGTTGTCTACCTCCAAAGTCAGGCACTCTTGTGCGCCGTCATCACCAGCATCTACTTCGACCGGTCTTTGCCAACTTCCTCGTCGACAACATTGCCACTGCCATAGCCACCGCTACTTCATTTGCAACCGATCAGTATGTGTGTCGTGATCTATTGTTGCATATGCAATATTGTTGCTCATGTTGTTCTGCTCATATGGTATACTAGAGTTATGCATGCTAATAATTGTTTTAATCATGATTTATATTGTACAATTAATCATGAAATTGCCAAATTTCAACACATTATGTATTGTACTACCTGATGTTGTCTTGTCGTTTGCCTTCCGCACCAATCTATCATCAATAACTGAAACAACGAGTCTACAAGGTTTGAACTACATGGCATACCATACAATACCACACCAGATTCATTTATTTTTAATCGGAAATGTCGAACCGGACTGGGTGGCCGATGGCAGATGCAGAGAGTGGGTGCTCCGGATTGCAACACTGTAATATCAGTTAGGCACAAGTAACACAAACAATGTTGCAATATCAATTACGCCATTACAAGCAAGGATGCTTCTTGCATTTGACAACATACCGCTGCACAACAAGAAAAGGCCAAACAAAGCTATGACCGGGCCACGCCTGTTCCTCTAGTTGCTAGTAAACCTCGTGTTAAGAGACATCAAAGATCGCACACAGCGGATCATCACAAGTAGTAGTAGTGTACATGAAAATTGAAGCTATAGTTTCCGGCCGGCGTCTGCCATGCTGGTCAACCAAGGATGACGTGGACGCGGACGGCGAGGGTGAAGATGGAGATGAGGGCGAAGTAGATGACGGCGTGGAAGAGCACGGAGACGCCGCTGGTCTGCTTGTTACCGAACTCCAGGAACCTGTTCTTGCCGGGGACCTGGAAGAGCAGCCCCGGCGAGAGGAGCACGAAGAGCACCAGCGCGATGAACACCGGGGCCCAGTCCGCCATGTCTCCTCTCCGGCCGGCACACTTGCTCTGGGATCCTACGTATGAGCAGTGGAGAGTGGCAGTGGTAGGAGTGTGAGGCCACAAGGGGGTGTCACTGTGGGTGTATATAGGAGAGGGAATGGCTTGGACACAAGGCAATTGGGGACGTTGGTGCGTGTCATGTGATGGTGTGGATGGTTTCCTCTAATGTGAGTGTGACTGTGCTGGTACACATGTGCTGCCAGCGCACGCATGTTTGTGCGATTTGTTCCAAGTTTAGCTACCTGTCGTTCATGTACAAAGTTGGTGATCGTGACTAATATGTACTCGGATATGTTGCTACTTGTTGTGCAGCAATGGATGGTCAATTAGTAGTTTTTCATCTTAACTTCCCAACAAAGCTGTGCCGGTATGGCCTTTGATGTACTCTAATATGACAAGAAAAATCACAAGCTTTATGCATGTTGCCATGCTGGGGTGTGCATGCCTTCTCTTTTTGATGTAAACTCTGCATCAAGGAATGCATTTTCGTAACTGTGAACCCATACTGCACTCACGCCTTTGCACACTCGGCCTCACGTTTGGACATGCATGTTGAGTGGCATGCGCACCACTAGTCTACAA